GAGAGAGAGAGAGAGAGAGAGAGAGAGAGCGTGAGGGAGAAAGACTGAAAGAGAAGAGAGAGATGTGTGAGAGAGATAGGCAAGAGATAGACAGATAGAGAAAGAGAGGGGAGGTAGAAAAAATGAAAATTTGAAAACTTTACCTCTTGCCAGTAAATCAAGTTGGCATGTGTGATCAGCTCAAAGACTACACGGAAAGCAACTTTCTGGTTCTCCACCAGCTCGTAGAACATCTTGTTGAAGACACCCTGGCCCTTGGAAGTTCTGTAACGCAAGGGGAAAAAACAAAGGATCCCTTAGTAAAAGAGCAAGATCGGTAACAGCTCACGTGCATCAGGATGAATAGCGTCACAAACAGTCCAACTGAGCTATAAAGATGAGTAACTTTAAAGTTTATAAATTGTAATGGCTTGCTGTATGTATATATTGACCCCAATGATCATCAGAAGGTTGTTCAGACTGGCCTTTGTCTCACGGAACATCAAAATGTTTTGATCAATTTTTCAAAAGCTCATCAAACCGCTTATCAAAATAATTGCAATCAATATCCTGTTGTGTGATTTCTATTTGTGAAAGCAACGGAAATCATTTTAAAGAAGCTGTTCCTTCAAAGAAAGCAGCGAGTATAAACCATTTGTTTTCCAAGATATTACATGTCAAACCAAACGTGTTATAACAAATAGATTGATTTGTTTTGCGTTAGAAATAACGCCCTCAATTTCTGATTGCTACCGGTGACTGCCCAACTGACGGGGACTGGGAACACTTAGACATGGATAAATCGGCGACTGTCATTGTTGCAAACTAGAAGAGTATTGGTTTGACATCTACAGTTTTTTTCGGTCTTTTTTGTTATTTTAGCCAAAAAGGACGTATTCACATCGGTGCTCTGAGACCGGCGAAGATAAGCCTTTAGTACCCACGTACTGCTTGTATATGTACAGTGCAACTCTTTTAAATACGTCATGACTACTCACGTCTCTGGGGAGTCTGGGTTGAAGTCGTTGACGTTACCGATGTTGGAACCGTCCGCGTTAGGGGTGTCAAAGTGGCGGAGTACCTCTCCATTCTCTTTTTTCAGATTAGCGCCAAATTTCCAGCCGCCAACATCACCTGAAATAAAACGAGAGTATTAAATTACGAACCTAATAAGATTGTGTTAACTCATTTCAATCCAGTGGTGATCCTGATTTCTTCTTGATTTTCCGTATTAAAAGCTATTTAGTTTAAGAATACAATGCTTCCAAAAGGTTTTTTTAAGGGGGGTCACGAGATAGGAGTTAGAATATCATATACTCGTATGCTCGTATGCATGTTTTCATGTCTGTGAACGAAGCTATGTACGAGTCGAAATACCATGTGCATGTTTTCATGCCTGTGAACGAAGCTATGTACGAGTCGAAATACCATGTGCATGTTTTCATGCCTGTGAACGAAGCTATCTATGATAAGTTACCCTCAGAGAAGACGGAGAGAGCTTTTCCACAGATGTCGGAATAAGATTCATCAATGGCAATCGATTCAGCGTCGAACATCAAGTTGTTGAGGGAGTCGGTGAAGGCGTGGCACAGCTGGAAGTGAACAGTTTATGCCATAGTTAAAAGTCCTCTTCTTTTCTTAGATGAGGCTCGAGAAGGCCTACAACATATTGTTACATGTAGTTGAAATACAATGCTACCATTTTGCAATATGGTTCTTTGGTGCAGGAAAGACCCACCTTTGCCAGGTTCTCTGAACAAACATTATTAAACGCTTGAGTGCGAGACTCGACTTGGTATGCTGTGGGATGATAAAATGTGTTCTTGCTCCTTTCTTTTTTTTTAGGGCATTAGGAGAAACCGATCTCGTGTGTGTGTGTGTGTGTGTGTGTGTG